ATTTTCCAGTTGTCAATCATTCTTGTTGCCATAATCTTGGTTTTTTTGACGTTTAGCTGCAACCCGGCTTCTACAAAGTCTTTAACCTTCTCTGCCAAAATGTGATGGGATCTCACCAAACAATAACTCTCAGGATTCTATAGGATTGGAATCATTGCAGTTATAGTGGTGCCAAACTGCATCCATTCTACAGTGTAGAGCCAGCCTAAGTTTTCTCCCCTCTAGATCCAGAACCCATTCGTCTTTGATAATTGTTTGTTTGTAACCATGCTTTAAGTTTAACTGAGACTCAACACACAGGTTTCAGTTGTTGAATTAATTGTTCACAAAGTGGCAGTGTATTACATAAAATCTATCAAATGCAGTTAAGACTTACTTTTGCTGTTTGGAAAAGAGAACCAGCGACAGCATCACCATCAGACCTAGGGTTCCAAAGGACATCACCAAAGGCCAAGGAATTGGTAATTCTAAAACAACAAAGCAACAACAAAAGACAAAACAGTAGTTGCCTTTATATTCTTTGATGACACTTCTTGCTACCTCAAGTGGACATGCAAACTAAAATCTTTCTAATCTAATTAGCAAACTATTAAAAATCTTTCCACTCTGTCACATGCAGTCGTGGCCCTGTTTGGTCTCTGTATTCCAAATTTGTCTTCCTAGAGTTAAAAGTTCCAGTATAATTCCCTATTACGGTGTGCATATAGTTGCTTACATACCAACATCTGTCTACCTATCATTCATCCATTCTTCTTTCCTTTCCTCTAATATAGAATCCAAGGCAGCAAATACAATAGATGAAAACAAAGTAGAAGTTTCATGTAGCCCCAAAGACCCACGAAGGAAGATAAAGTAAGTACATCTATTCCTTGATACCATAGGGAAAAAAAGCTAGCACTGTTAATTAACAATTTGCTTTTGCTGAAGAGGGAAAGAAGCCAAGACTATATTGGGCACATTTGATATCTGTTTTACCCTCCAAAGGTATATAATTTTGCTTGCATTAAAAAAAGTCAAATGCCTAGAGAAACTACTAATCTATTATTTGGAATATCTAGCCTTTTTTAGAGCTGGGCTGAGCTGGATTTGTTCATCTACAATTTCCATGAGACACTATAGTCAATGGTGAAGAATGTTGGGATTTGCAGTCCACCAAATATCTGGAGGACCACATTTTGCTCGCTTCTGATCTAGAACCTGAACTGAAATCTTTCAAATGCATTTTCACACAAGAGCTTCCTTGAAAACATGTCCTTTGTTGACTATCTAGTGCAGGGAAGACGAATCCACATCCTTCAAGATGCTTTGGACTGCCACTCCCAGAAGCCCCAACCAACATGGCCAGTCATAAGCTTATGAGAGTTGCAATCCAAAATATCTGGAAGGCCAAAGTGTCCCCCCATCCCTCATCAATAACAGACTATATGGAAAAGCAGAAGAATTTGAATATTCTTTATCCATATGAATGGCATTAACTGAGTTGGCCCATATACCATTTGAAAGCTACAAATTCAGTATAGACTTTTCTATATGTGCTGACCAAGAAATTAATGTAGTAAATGGGACAAGAACACAATTATGTGGGAAGCATGACATCAATCCAACAAGAGAAACCATCTCAAAGGCCATTTCCTTCTTCCTTACCTTTCTCACATGGTACCAGTCCCATTGAGCCAAAAGACACATAAAGCACTTCACTGAACTCCCCATAAACTCCTCCTGGGATTTTTGCTTGGATTCGTATCTCATAATCACGGCATGTCTTCAAAGCGTACAATGGAAATTTTGTGATATCCTTTGCTTCCCACTGTAATAGTAAATGGAACATTCATCGGTTGACTGCTACTCATATACAAAAGCTTTTTCTAGAGAGTTCATACAAGAAATAAAAAAGAATTTGGTTAGAATTTGGATGTTTACAGATGCTAGTTAATTACAGAAACATAATTAACTATCCAGTGTGTGATACTGCTGATTTTCAAGGGTAGGTTGACCTACCATGCAGCTAGTTTGGCTGCCTCAATATGGCTCTTCCAATTTCCATTATATGAGAAGTGTATGCCCAGATATTTAAAGCTATGACACTGCTCTATTGAATGGCCATCCAATTTCCAATTGTGTATTTGTTTCCTTTTGGAGAATACCATTACTTTGGTTTTAGAGTGATTGATCCTCAACTTCTCTTGTTCGCAAATTCTGCTTAGTGACCTCAAAAGCCTCCTGAGAGCTATTTGCGTAGTTGACAGGAGGACCATATCATCCGCATACAACAAGACTTGGATTCTCCTACTACCTGCTA